CAAAATAGCTGATTTTGAATGCTGTTCCAGAGCAATATCTCTCAATATGGACAAGTACTTGTTTGACGATCAGATACAAATGTCAATCATTTTAATGTTAAAAAATCATATACCTGACATGGTTATATTCCAGCTATATTACTATAAACAAAACTATATATCTTAAATTTGATAAATAACGGGGACTGTGCCATGCATGGCTTGTGTATTTATGTATTATTATTGTTTTCAAGAAATGTAAACTTGAGATTGTGATGGGCCGGTGGCCTAGTATGGCAACAATGTCCATCGCTATAGAGTAATGATTGTCTGGTGTGGTTTACCTGTAAATTGGTTTGTTTAATTGTTTACATTCATTTTGTTTACAGACATACCAACTAATGTCAGATAATTGGTTCCTGCATGCTCCAAGTACATTGATCAATGCTGGTACATGTAAACCACAACTTGCAAGGTCAGTAACATTTTAATTTTATCTGTCATATACTTATGACTTATGGCTCATGTCACCATGGCAGGTAACTCATGTGACCAGGTAAATTGTTTCTGAATGATTTTGTAGTGTCTGGTCAGTAATTGATAGTGAATATATGGTCACAAACTTTATATTTGCTACTTCTTTGTATCCAAACTCAAGTAAATTACATGTCACCAGTGAATAATAGTATGTGCCAGCTTTTTGACTCCCGTGTGCGAAGCACAAAAAGGGAGTCTTTGCAGTTAGTGTGTGTGTGTGTGTGTGTGTGTGTATGTGTGTGTTTTTGATGCTCTGAGCCAATGCACAGATTTGATTAGGTTTTGGTAAAAATCTATGCATATTAATTACCTAATTTGCATGATAATTAGCTGATTTTTAGCTGTTCCATGACTGTTCCACTGATATCTACAGAACCACTCATTGGATTTTGATGAAATTAGCACACAGATGCTCCAAACTAATGGGCATATTTGATTAGTTTGGGTAAAAATCTGTGCATATTAATTACCTAATTTTCATATGATTAATCATTTCGCTTTT